TTAATTTTGCTTATGACAATGTAGCATTTCAAAACAGGAAAATTTTATCTGTTCAATAGATAATGTAGGGACAACAAGATAGCCATTCAGAAACAAAAAGTTAATTATCCCACACCTTGTATAAAAATGGATTCCAAAGAGATAAAGGAGTAAAACTTTTTTTTACTTTGAAAATCTTTGAAAATATTTCTAAAAATACAGAAAATACTTTTATAAGCTTGGGTGGGAAATACTTTCCTAGATAATATATGAAATCAAGGTACCATGTGCAATTTATTGAATAAATTACCTCTCAAAAAAATACAACTGAGAAAAGAAATACCATAAATCGGAAAAAAAAAAAAAAAAACCAGCAAATCTGGCAACATAAATATCCTGAAAATGTAAAATATCTATTTGGCAAAAAAAATAAAAATAAATAAAGTGTAAAGATAAGTAATAAACAGGAAGAAAATTGTGTACCATATATAACAGGTAAAGAATTAATGTTCAGAAAAAAAAAATATATATATATATTAAAAAGACAGCATCCCATTGAAAAACAGGCAAAGGTTAGGTACAAGCAAATTTTTTTAAAGATTTATTTATTTATTTATTTATTTTTAGAGGAGAGATAGAGCATGCACAAGCAGGAGGGGCACAAGGAGAGGGAGAGAGAAAATTCCAAGTGGACTCCATACTGAGTGCAGAGTCCAACACAGGGCTGGACCCTACAATCCAAAGACCATGACTTAAGCCAAAACCAAGACTCATATGCTCTATGACTGACCCAGATGCCCTGACAGAAACTGATTTTCTAATTTCTAATATGACTAGATGTTCAATCTCACAAATAATTTTATATAATAATTGAAATTAAATTGTATTGAATACAATAATTGAAATTAACACAACAATGAAATATTATTTTTCCCATCACTGGGATAAATAATGAAAAAGATTAATAATATCCATTGGTAACGAGGCTTCAGGGAAATAGACACTATCATGCAATGATGGCCAGAGTATAAATTCATAAAATCTTTTTGGAGAGCATACAAGCATTGTCTATTAAAAATTTAAATATACATAGCCTTAAGCCCAGCAATTCTCTTTCCAGGAATCTAACCAACAGAAATACTTGATAATGTGTAGAAAGATGTTCACTGAAGCACTTGTGTTAATGAAAAATTGGAAGTTTCATACGACCTCATCACTAGCGGAATGATGGCATGCAATTTGATGTTGCCTGGCTATGTAGTATCAGTTACAGAAAAGTATAAATAATATCCCCAACGATACTCATAAGGCATGAAGTGTAGTGTTGTTAGAATATACGTGCCCAAATGCCCACAGAAGAGGGACCTGATGGTTGTAAACCACATCATTGATGATGATTACCTTTGGGGATGGCAGTGCAACTGAGAATGTTAGGATAGATCTCTGAGGACTAGCAAAGAAGTCCTCAGGAAAGAAGGATAGATAAGGGCCTCAAATAAAATGTACAATTGGAATAGGCCAAGGGAAAGAGGGGTGACTTCTCCCAAAGAAGGTGACATTATCCACCAAGTCTCACCTACCTCCAAGTACCAATCACAAGAAATGCTATCAGAGCTTTTCATTCATTCATCAAGTACTTAATGAGAGTCAACCATATACTAGACATTCATAGTCCTCCTCCTCTTTCTCCTCCTCCTCCTCATCATCTCCAGAAAGTCTATATTACATAGACCAATCCGTGGAAAAAGGGCATTTTCAATGCTGGTAGGAATATAAATTCATAAATTCTAAAGGTCACCTCCTCAAACTGTATCAATCTAAATTATTTCAGTCATTAAATTGAATATATATTTGGACCCAGCAATCGGAGTTGCAGGACTTTATTCTAAAGGCAGAGACATTTGTGGAGATTTATTGACAAGAATTTCAAACAACCTAACTGTCCAATAACAGTAAGTGAAAAGATAAATTATGATACGTCCACACCATGGAACGCCAGCCTGTCATTTAAAATTATGTGATGGAAGCATATTTGACAACATGGGAAGACGTGCACACTCTAGTAACATGAGAAAAGCCAGTCAGAAAATAGTACTTATGGTTATGAGTGGAATTAGGTTTTTAATTTTTATTTGCATACAAGTGATTGGAAGGATCTACTTTAAAATGTATATAAAATGTTATACCTGTGTGGAGATATTACAAGCCATTTTATTTTCTTCTTTAAATCCCTTCCGTATTTCTTCACATAGTCTCTACTCAAACTATTATTTTTGCAATAGAAAACAGCCAACATGGGGAGACCAGGCTAAACTGCTGTGACACTTGCTCTGTGCCAGCAACCACCCCATCAGTATACAGCGCGAGTCAACTTCCTTTTGCAGCAGTGAGATGAGAAGACACCATGTGTCAACCTTTCTTTTTGGGAGTTCACAGTGGAAGACCAGCAATTTCATCTCACATTAAGAACAATGCAAGGAGAGTGCAAGACCATCCACGGTCAAGGGCAGAGGATGGGCGAAGTGTTAAAAACAATCCCGAGAAAATTTCCCCTCTCCTCTGTTAAGGCTTGAGAAGCCTCCAGGGAAGAAGAACAAAGTAAGTACCTTAGAAAAGAAGGGCTCTGGGGCCCAGAGAAGAAAAGGCACTCACTCCAAAATTCTCACTTCTGAGAATTGCTAATCAGTGTTATAACCCAAAAGTATTTGCCCATAGAACTTTCCATTGTGTTTGTTTCTGTTCTGGTTTTCCATATAACAATTATGAACATGAGGTGAAGATTTAGGAAAACAAAGCCCCTGGAAATGAGCAAGGGAAAGGGCCTGGGGAAAGGCATCCCAGGAGGCTGGAGCCTCAAAAGCCTGTTCCCCTCCTTGCCCAGGAAGGACAGTGAGCCAAGCTGCTGCATGCTCCCCCCCAGCCTGGGGCAGACCTGTTCCAAGCTAAACAAGCCAGTCTGCTTTCAGGGCATTTATTTGGAGTTACCTTTTCTTTTCTTTTCTTTTCTTTTTTTCAATTTTATTTATTTATGATAGTCACACAAAGAGAGAGAGAGGCAGAGACATAGGCAGAGGGAGGAGCAGTCTCCATGCAGGGAGCCCGACGTGGGATTCGATTCCGGGTCTCCAGGATCGCGCCCTGGGGCAAAGGCAGGCGCTAAACCACTGCGCCACCCAGGGATCCCTGGAGTTACCTTTTCTTAACCCTCCTAGTGTAGTCTCCCTTGAAGCCTACATAGAATGTTCTAGAAGGCATGGTCATCACTTCCTAAGGTTTTCAATAATCCCGTCAGAAAACCACAGCCTTGCTCAGAGGCTGAGCCAGTGTGAGGAGCAGGAGGCTCTGAGGCAGAGCAGATGCAGCCAGGGAGGCCCAGATCTGTTGTGAGATTACAACCACTTCCAGAGCATGTATGGAGTGAGCATCAGACAGACAGATAGAGATAGTGGTAAAAGGAAGAAGGAAAGAGTAAGTGAAGGGAAGGGGAGGGTGGAGGGGAAGAATCAGAAACGGGAAAACCAAGCAATGGAAAGAAAAGGAGAGGAAGAACAGAAAGGAGGTTAAGAGAAGAGAGGGGGAAGAGGAGGCAGGAAGGGAGGTGGGGGGAGGAGAGGGGAGGTCGGGAGAGGAGAGTCCATGGTTCCAGTGAAATCTTATGAACCACTTCAGGTTCCCCAAGGAGCAAGTACCTAAATAAACATTCTAGAAGGAACTCAGCTTCACCCAATAAAAGTAGATTCACATTAAATAGTACACTAGATGACTGCATTTGAATGCAGGGAACCTTTTCATCTGTTCTAATTGGCACAGGGTCCTCACAACCGAGAGATGTAGTGTGCAGTTGCAGAATATACTGTGACATACAAATAAAAAGGACACATATACGATTTTATGTTTCAGAGCCGAGTGATATTCAGAGTGGATTCCCTCCTCAGCCCTTGGTCATTTGATGCATTTTTCTGTTTTCTGGGCCAAAGGATATATTTATACTAATAGTCATTTGTTTTCTTAAATGAATTTGCTCTGGGAGAAAAAGTGCACATTTCAGATAATACATCATTCTGCGCTTAAGAACATTATAATGAGCAAACTCCAAAGGCAAATAAAGTTGTACTGACCACTATCTACATAAATTATCTACTTTAACACATCCTTTACTCATGCAGGATATTAAAAATACCCTTTCTCCTTCCGTCAAAAAAAAAAAAAAAACCCACCTCTTCACAACTGAGTTTTATCCCTTCAAAAAAAGCTTATCAAAACATCACTAATGCCTTTAATACTATATTACATGTATGTAATAAAATTAGATTCTTTCTCACACGTGGGACCATTAGCTTTACTTTGTGATCCTCTTTATCTTCTACCAGACCAAATTCAAGTTCAAAGCTATCAAAAATGTAATAGCACACAATAGCAAGTCTTATCAAAACTGTAGAATATTTCTCATAAAAAACAGCAACTCTTGAATGTGGCTCTTGGTAGCTAAGATGTTTCAGAACATGGCCCATGCTTCCTATCTTTCACCAGGAAGGGAGGGCTACCTCTGGTCCTCTGCCCGATTTCAGATGAATTTCTCAAGTGAGATGTTGCCTAAGGCTTGGATCAGTTTCTCTGGGCAACAGATCAGAGCTACGAGCCTGCCCTGCTCTGAGGCCTGGAAACTGTTATCAGGACCTCCCGACGCATGCTTCCTCCGTGGATGCCCAGCATCCCCCAGCCAAAACCACCACGGCAAAGCACACACACAGCCAGTCCAGTCTTTGAGACATGAAGGTTTTACCCAGGGCCAAGTTGGGCAGGATGGGGCCAGACACTTGCTCCTTCCTCTCCTTACTTCTGTGTTAGCCCCAGTGTCCAAGATCTAGCCTCATGCTCGCAGCCTGGTTCACATGGCTGTGGCCCACAGAGGCCATGAAGATGCATTCAAGCCCAGCAGAGCCATCTGGAGGCCCCTATGTCACCAATTAGAGGACTCATCTGTCCCCCCTTCTCTCCTCAAATTGCAGATATGCCCTTACCTCTCATTTCCGTCGCTGATGATCCATTGGACCAGGCAGTCCACTTATTCCTGTACTTGCTGATTTCCTGGACTTTACAGACGTAATGCCCTTGATCTGTTGGCTGGAGGGTCAAAACAGAGAGTGTGTAGAGTGCTCCCTGCCTCTCCTCGAGGAGGCACAGCCTCTGTCGGAAGGCACTGCGGCTGTAATTCCCATAATACTGCACCACCCGGAGCTTGGTCATCTTAACCATCAAGGCCTCCTGGGAGTTGGGGCTTGCGAAGAACCAGCGCACAGCCAGCAAGCTGTCCTTCCGTCTCTTCTGGGAGACATGGCAAAGAAGAGTGGCATTCTCCCCCTCCAGGTAGTCAACCACAGGCCCTGGGGACACGGTGACATTGAGGGCCCCACACACCTCTGCAGAGGGAAAAGGAAGGAAGCAAATGAGCTGCCTTTCCCCAGCAGGACACACAGTGCGTCTTTTCTCCAGGAGCCATCTATATTGCCACCCTGATACCCTCCACGCTCACTCTGTGCCTTTGTGGTGAACAGGAAGACTCCTTCTGGAGCATGGCAGGGATAGGGGGTTTCCGTGGGCTCCGATGTCCTCAGCCATGAGACAGTCTCATTGACATGAGATGCCACTGACCACCTGGCCCAGACATCATTAAAAAAATTTTTTGATTAGTTGCTAACTCTTAAAATTCAGACAATTTCACATAATGGTTTGGATTTGGGATACCTCTTAAAAATCTCCAACCCACATCCCATCCACCAGCCTGCCTCTCAGGATACACTTCGATCACTTTCATCACCTGCCTGAGTCAGCAATGCTGTGGGTCCAGGAGTTGCTCTTTCAAGCCCCTCGCCCTGTCTCAGCTGTTTCAGCTGGCACAGTATCAATGCTGGTCAGACAGGCACTGAACTAGTTAGTACCAAGTTGCTGGAACAACAGACGTTTCTCAGTTCCTTGCTCTAAGTCTTTTGTGGGCTCCCGATCCATGGTCTCAGAGCTACAGTGCAGGGATAAAGAATGAAGGAACCCAGGAACAGGGTTCCTCCCCCCCGCCCATAACCCAAAAGATGCTCCAAAATCCCAGACCTGGTCTACTATTTCCTGTACTTTGTTTTCTTAGTTAGATCCACCCCAACAGCTGCCCCTCCCGAACTGCCATTCTATCTCCAAGCTGACCTTGGAGGGAGCCACCCCAACATCCACCTGGACCAGCCAGACCAGTAGACCTCACACAGAGGCCTTCCTCCGTGGAGACCCAAAACATGGTGACTCCAGCGACTGAGCGGTGTGGCCATCCTGTCCCAGAGTCCACCGGTGGAGTCACCAGCTGGCAGGCAGAGCCCAGAAAGGATGTTTCACACAGTACACCCAGAACCTGACAGCAGGGCTATCTTCACACCAGGTCCCACGTCCTCACCCTGCTCTGCCAACTGCCCAGCAGCGAGCACCGTCCCCTGCCTGCCCTGCACAGGCAGGGGTCCCTGGGGTCATCTCAAGCCACAGTTTTCAACCCCAAGTGTCACCTCTGGTCACATGATGAAGGGGCTTGGGTCCTGATGTGAGGGTCACCAAAAGCTCTGAACTCTGGCCAGTGTTGCAGGTAGGCAAGGAGGAAGGATGAAAAAGAGATCAAGAAAGATTTGAACCCTCCACTGTGAAGAGACGGCAAGCCAACAAGGTGAGGCGCTGTGTCTGTTGGGGTGGGAAACACCCTTCACTGTAAAAATCCAGGCAAGAAGTTCATCCTCTCATATGGCTTCCACTTTTGAGTTAATAAACTAAATAATTTCAGAGATACGACTTACAGGTCACTTTCCTCTAATTTACTTTCTCATCTTTCAGAGGCCAGGCCCACCAGAATACTCCAGGACACTCCAAGATCCTTTACCTAACTTAATCACATCCATAGAGGACATTCTGCCACACAAGGTATCATTCACAGGTTCCAGGAATTAGGACACAGACCTTTGGGGGGGGGCACCTCACTTTTACCACATCATGAGAATCTTTCGTTACCTTAAAAAACAGATGGGTGTAAATTCACAAGAAAGAGGTTGGTGCTGGGGCTGGACTCTCCTCATGGAAAAGAATAAGATCATCTATGCCTGCAGCCACAGAGGACAAACCCATTCTAGGGAGATACTCGGGGGAGGAAGAGCATTAGTAGCCAAGGGAAAGTGCACAATCTCTGGCAATAATCTCACTGTGACAGAAATGGCTCATGTAGGACAGAAGAGGAAGACCCGCCCCCACCCCCCACTGTCTCCCATCTTGCCCATCTGCCCTACACCTTGCCCGTTCACCATATTCAATTAGTCCAAGTCCACCCCCCACTGCTAAGGCCCTGTCTGCAGCCCCCATGGGCCACACACACAGGACACCAGGCTGACCCACTTCAACAGCTGCCCGGGTACCGACAGGCAGAGAGCAGCAGAGAGCGGCAGCTGGCATCCAGAGTTGAAGCCCAGCTCTCCCTGCCCCCAAGGATCCCCCAGTGGAGTCGAGGGGAGAACCGGGAAAGGCAGGAAATTGAAACAATATGGGTGGGATGAGAGAGCCCAGACCCCACACTCCAGTCCCCTCCTATTAACGTCGTGTGAAGGAGGGATTATTTATAGTGTCTAAAACCAGGAGAATGTGCCAAGTGCTCAGTCCCCATGGAAGGCCAGATTCCATCCTGGAGGCAAACTAGTAACCCTTCTACTTCTGCAGTTCAGACCAGGAGTTGGCAGCCCCCGTGAAAGCCAATGGACTGAGCCATCTGCCTAAAATGACCCCTCCTTTTCTCTTTACTGGTGCACCTCTCTGCCTTCATTTAGCCCTATATTCTCTTACAGAGGGTCCATGCATGCTTCTCCCACCAAAGTGCAAAGACCCTTGTTATGGGCTGAATTGTGCCCCTGAATTCCTGTGTTGGAAGCCCGAGTCCCCACTCCTCAGAATCTGACTGTATTTCGAGATAGGACCTTTACAGAGGTGATTAAGTTCAAAGGAAGCTATTAGAGAGCACCTTGATCCAACACGTCTGGAGTCCTGATAAGAGGAACATGGGCCACAGACATGTGCCCTCAAGGAGGGAAGTCCATGTGAGGACACAGGGGGAAGGTGGCCATCTGCCAGCCAAACGGGGTCCCTCAGAAGAAAACAATCCTCCCAACAACACCTTGATCCCGACACCTCCAGGACTGTGAGAAAGAAATGTTTGTGGTATAAGCCCCCAGTCTATGGAAATTTGTGATGACAATCCTAGCAAGTCAATACAACCTTGAAGGCTTGTAGGTTCACAGGAAGGCTTGTCTGGGCACTCCACCTGTCTAGATATTTACACCCACTTTCAACTCAAAGATACTGGTGGAGGATGACTGAAACTCATGGCCAAAGGCCCCTTGGGGTCTTAAAGCTTTGCCAGAGAACACAGGCCCTCAGGGGTCCCCAGGCCTGCGATGAGACTTCCCTGAAAGTCAGATGTTCCCAGCAGCACCCTTTCCTTGACCCTGGAGATGGTGAGTTTAAACCCAGCAAATACAGTTCCCATTCAGGCATGGGGAGGGAGGCGAAAGGATGCAGGCATAGGTTCCCATGCCTACTAGATGTCAGCTGAGCTGGATATTTAGATAAGTACTAGAAAAGAAAAATCATGCAGCATCTGCCTCCCCACAGTTAGCAGGCCCCCGATGGCTCAGCAGAGATAAGAGCAGTGGGAGTCAGGATGGAGGAAGTAAGGACAACACCAATGTATGGAGTCAGGTTGACCAGAAGGCAGTGCCCAGAGGAGTCCAGACCTTTCCCTCTAGGTCTGTCTAAATGACAGAGTATGTACCCACCCTGAAGCACAAAGGGGAAGCCAAGCAAACACGAGCCAAGCCAGCTAAAGACAGGGGAGGATGGGTGTCACCCTCCAGGCAGGGCAGTCTCCCCTCTCCTGGCCTAGGAGGGAGAATTGTCAGAGTCATTCATGCCCAGAGAAGAACTGAACTTCTTGCTTTGTGACCCAGCTCTGCAGGGAATGGAGGTGGGAGGTAGACTCCCCAGCCCCCCATCCCAGGCTCCCCTGCACTCAGAGTTCCTATGTCCTCCAGCTTACATCCCAGCCTATGCTTTGTCCACTCAATCACTCAACAAATGCTTGCTGAGGAACAGCTAAGTGCCAGGCACTACACGAAGAAGACAGCATTCCTAACTTCATGGAGCTGAGAGGCCAGTGGGCCAGGTGGCCAGTCATGGGGGGGATAAGGACACAGGAGTGACAACCATCTGTGTCACATGCAGCAGAAAAAAGGTGCAAGGCTTTTAAAAAATCCGGGCAAAATCCTGATCTAGCCTGTGGGATCAGGGAAGAAGGAAACTCTGGGGAAGTGACCATAAGCTAAAGGCTGAGTTGAAGTTAAAATTCAGGAGAGTGGCAAAGAATGTCCTCCCTGAGAGAGAGGGGGGTGCCACCTGCGCAAAGAGCCTGAGGCACGAGGAAGCTGGTGCGGGCTGGACAGAGAACATACAACGTCCTCTGGCGAAGTGTACCACACAGTGGTCCAGAAAGCCACCAGGCCTACCAGCAGGAGGGGACTTTCCACCCCAACAAGGACTTTATAAACTTGGGGGAGTTTATAAAGTTATATGGGAGTTTATAAAGTTATATGGGAGTCCATATAACTCTTAAAAGAGGAATATGACAACATAGGCAGGGAAGACACTGAACCAAAGAGAGTAAACGGGATTCAGGCAGCAAGGAATCCTATTCTTTCAACAAGCACATGGCCCCCTATGGTCCAGGCCTTCCCAGTGGCTTGGTGGGGCTGGGCAGAGGGCCAGGGGGATGGTGTTCAATAGAGCAGGGCTAGAAACCTGGTGCTATTAAGTGTGAGGTTCTGAGAGCCTCAGTTTCCTCATCTAAAAAGTTGGAAGATGATGCCTGGCAAGGTGAGTGTAGGCTCCAAGGAGGAAACAGCTTTCAAATACTGACGCTTGCGTGTAAGGTCTGAGAGCTGGGCAGGGGAGGAGGCCAACAGAAAGTGACACATATGCTGACCCGTGAGCAGGGTGGGCTTCTTGGGTGTATGATCCGCAGTCATCCAGGGCCCTACACGTACTTGGAGGAGCCTGCCACTTGGCTCAATCTCTGCTGTCACTCTCTTGAAATTTTTGAATCAGGGAGCTCCCTTTTTTATTTTGTACCAGATCCCACAAATTATGTGGCTGTTCTACCTATAGGTGAACATTAAATTCTCATGGCTAGGACTTATGGGGTCCAACCCTCTTGCTCCCATTTGGATACTATCATGAGAAGGACTAACACAGCTCTGAATACAGCTTCAAAGAAAATCCCTGTTACCCAAGAGTGTACAACCTACTCATCTAGTACGGAGCCTCTGCCTCTCTCTAGCACTCACCCTGAAACGGGGGAGGGTACTTTCCAGTTGCAGGGGAGTGTGGGACTTCTAACAACAAGGTGTCCACCTTGCCTGGGACGCAGAGGTGCGTGTGGCTGCCACCAATGTGCTAGTGGTTCTGTGCCCCATGCTCCTTCTCTGTCCTGAAGAAACTGCTCCCACTCAGATCAATCCTCGCTGCTGCCCTGAATTTTATGTCATTAACTCCAATTCAGCCTTCTGCTCCTGGTCACTTCCCCAGGGTCTCTTTCTTTCTGGGTGCCACCCAGCCAGAAGTTTCTGCGTTTATAAAAAATTCAAATTGTGGGTGCCAATCAGCAGCAAAATCATTCATACCAGAAAGAAAGTCTGAATTCCTGACATATATCTCTGAACAAAATGCAATTGTGTTACTTATACACCTGTAGCACTAGGAGCCCATATTTATCAAGCACCACACAGAGGAGCTACCAGACCCAGCCTCTGGGGTGCTGCATTCACGTTAAAAGCCTGTCACCTGAAGCAGCTCTCAGCCAGGACAAACACAGGACCCTGACCAATGATAAAGGCTAGCACTGGCTGGGGGTGGACTCTATGCCAACCATTATTCTAAGTACCTTAGGTTTATTTTCCCAACTGACCCTCATACTACGTTTATCCTCATTTTACAGGGAAGAGGGCTGCCACACAGAGAGGCTGAGCCCACAGCCCAAGCTTACACAGAACATGGCAGAGCTGGAATCTGAACACAAGCCATCTGGCTTCAAAAGCAACTCTCAATCACCACACTGGACCGTGGTTTGGCTTTTAGTAAATATTTTGTCCCTCGGTTTCCTTTCCTGTAAAGTGAGGGGCTGGACCAGGTAACCGCTAAGGTCCCACACTGCCCCCAAATCAAGAAGTAGGAAAGTGCAGCAGACCTACATTAAAAAGCAGCTAGGCTAGGCCTGCCCTGGGGGACTGTGGTGAGGAGTCTTGGGTGAAGCACTCAGCAGACAGTGGCACAGGGTGAGTGCCACACAAGCAGGGCTGTCAGGATTATGCACAGCATGGCCTTGGGCACAGCCAGGGTAGACTGTAAAAAGGATCCCGAATTGCAGCTCTCAAGCCTCCAGGAGTCTCCTGAAAACATAAGAATTCCTTGACTCACACACACTCACACACACACACACACACACACACACACACACACACACCCCGCCAAAGTCACTCTCTGGGGGTGCCCTCCTTGATAGCAGCTGTGATTAGGAGGTGGTCTGGGAGCCTGGGAGGGGATGAGGACCCCTGTGCCCCTTGGCATCCTGTTGGCTGCTGGCTACTCCACGCAAGCCACCAGAGCAGAGCTGTCCTGTCCAAACCTCCAGTCACTGGCAGTCAAGACATTGAAAAGTATGACAAAAGCATTTCTCACAGCACCAATTTCAGATTCAGCAGAAACCCTGCTGCACTGGTAGCAGCGGGCCAGAGGGTGAATTTCTTCCTGCTTTGTGATCCAAGTTCCTCCTCCTCAGAGTCTGATCCACACTGGTTCAGATGGCAGCTCCGCCACTTGGTAGCTGGGTCACCCCTGGAAAATCGCTTCACTCTGAGCATCAGCTTCCTTATTTACAAGACGCAACTTAGATGGGAGAAGCACAAGCCGGAGCCAGGCCCTCTGGGCTCAAATCCCTCCTCCACAACTTACAAGCCTTGTGATCCAAGGCGAGTCGATTCCAGGGCCTGAGCCCCAGTTTTCTCACTTACGAAATGGGATACGCACAACACAACACAACACAACACAACACGGCGTCCAGGGGGCCTCGGCAAGTCAATGTCTGCAAGGCACCTGGATGCGTGCGTTTTGCTCTTGTCACGCGGGAAGCATATTGTCGGGGCTACGTGGGACAATGAGTAGCACGATGCGAGGCGCCCAAGAAGTAGAAGAGCCGCTGGGGCAGGCAGTCAACGACCATTCTAGGAGCAAGGGCTTCTCCGCTCTGAGGCGGGCGGGCCGGGCTCCCGGGATCAGGGGCGCGCTTCGGGGGCGGCGGCCCGCAGTCCCGGCAGCGCTCTCCCAAGGCGGCGCCCCGGGGGCGCTCGGCCCGCCCGGCCCCTCCCACCGGCCTGACCACCCGAGAGGAGCGGGGGAGCCGGCCCCGACCGCGGCGCTCACGGAAAGGAAACGGAGCCGCAGCAAGGCCGGCGCAGCCCGCGGCCACCCGGCGCCCCCGCCCGGCCCCGGCCCCCGCCCCGGCCCCGGCCCCGGCCCCGGCCCCGAGCGACCCGGCCCCGAGGCGACCCGGCCCCCCCAGGCGCGGCCTCCCCGGCGCGGGCTGCCCCTGCCTCGCCGCGCTTACCCGGGGCCGGAGCCGGAGCCCGCGCCAGCAGCACGGCCGCAGCCAGCGCCACGAGCCGCATCTCCCCGCCGCCGCCGCCGCCGCCGCCGCCGCCGCCGCCGCCGCCGCCGCCGCCGCCGCCGCCGCCGCCGCCGCCGCCGCCCCGCGCTGTGACGCCCGCCCGGCCCCGCCGCCGCCAGCCCGCCCCGCGCTGTGACGCCCGCCCGGCCCCGCCGCCGCCAGCCCGCCCCGCGCCGCCCCCAACCCCCGCCCCCCGCCCGGCCCCGGCCCCGGCCCCCGCCCCCGCCCGGCCCGCCCCTCCCCCGCCCCTCCCGCGCGTGCCCGGGGGCGGGGGGGAGCCCGCGGTGCGCCCTCCCGGCCGCCTGCGGGCGGCTCCTTGTCCACGTCCCCGTTTCACAGGCGGGAAAACTGAGGTTCCGAGACCGGTTCGCGGGACACGGGGAATGCACAGCCGCAGTGGGCTTCGCGGTCGCCGTGCGTCCGACGGTCATTGCCGAGGGGAAGGCTGCTTGGAGTCTGGGGCTTTGGGGCCGGTGGGCACCTGCTGCCCAGCCGCCCCCTGCCAGCCCTCCACGGCAACCTTTGTGAGCCAAGGAGCAGCCAAAGGAGAACAAGCCCTCCTCTGCTGCCCTGAACTGGGTGTGGAGGGGTGTCCGGGCTGGGCTGGAGAAGCTTGGAAAACTGAGAGGGTTCGCACAGCCCAGCTCAGAGTGTGTGGCCACTGTGAAAACCAGTGAGCACCCGGGGCCCCGTAGCCACAGCCTGGGAGAAGTACTTTGCTCCGGGTCACCGAGTCCTGGCGCTGTAAGACTCCGGGACAGTTCCCGAACTTCCGTGTGCTTCCGTTTCCTCCATCTGTACAACGGGGGGGGGGGGGGGGGGGACATCCATTGTGGGGTGTTTAAGATCAAATGAGGCAGCTCCAGCTAGGGCTCAGACCCTGGCCCCTGGCCCATGAATGTCAGCCACCGTTGCGATCATCGTTTATACGTAAGGAAGCCTACACAGAGGGTGGGAGGAGTGACAAAGCCACTCAACCCACCTCACTGTGCGCCGATACCAGTCTCTTTGCCATGGTTCTTGACTTGGAGACTGAGTCTGACTAATGTGTTAGTCCGGGGTCTCTAGCTCAAGAACAGTATATATTAGCTATATTCTCTGTGTCTGTCAGGAGAAAAGGGGAGTCCTGCTTGGGAGTGGGTCCCTGCAGAAGCAAGAGAACAGGGTCCCCATCTCTTCCCCTCTAAGAGCAGAGGAGGCTTGGGGAAGGCATGGAGAGAGAGGTGGTGGTGCCCCCTGGTGCTGAGCCACCGGGCCTGTCCCAGAGGGACCAACCATCCCTGCAGCCCAGACCAGTGGGTGCAAGCTTTTGTGGTGTCTCCAAATCCCAGGTACTTCCTGGGGTCCCTGGTCCCTCTAGGGCTCTTCTCACTGGGAGACCATGCCGTAGAGTAGGCCCCTGCCATGACTTGGCGGACCATCAAGGTAGCCAGGCTGGAGGGAGCAGCTAGGCTGCTAAGAGGACCTGAGGAGTCTGTAGTGAGCTGGCTGCAAGGTCTCTAGGTCTGAAGACAAGGACAAGAACCCGTGTCAGTCTGGATCCTACAGCACAAACAAACATACCTAGAAGACTTCCAGACCAGAGCTTGGAAATCACTTTGCATGTGTAACCAGCTAAGCCTCATACCCCATCTCTGTGAGGTCCCAGGCTCCATTTCTCAGATTAGTGAGCTCAGGCTCAAAGAGGACCACAGTCCCACCCAGGATTCTGTGGGCCCCTGAGTGTCTGACATGGAACCTTGGATTTGTGCAGAAGAAGAGCATTGGTTCTTAAAGCCAACCAGCACCTGATCCTAGATAACAGTGTGGGTCCTTGGGCAACGTAACTAACCTCTCTGAACTTCATTTTCCAGATGAGAGTGATGTATATAAAATAGCCTGTCAGCAGGACTGTCCAGCATGTGGACAAGGAGCTCAGGAGGTGGCAGGCCCGTTTGGTGTCTGCGTGATCTCACCCCACACTCTGTGCTTGCAGTTTGCTCTTCTGGTTGGTGGAAAGCAGAAGGGACACCTTAACACATGTTGGCCACACTTGAAGGAACCAACTCCTGCTGTGATCATTGTATCCTTTCTAAGTATCAGTCTCTCCCTACAGGACTGAGTGGACATTCAGCCCAGCATTAGACCTAAGTGCCCACCCTCTGCTCAGTTTTCCCTGGTGCTTGCTGGAGATTCAGGGCTGGAAAGTGTTTTTCTTGTGCTTCTAATGATATATGACACTGTTTTGTTTTCAACTGTGTGCTCTCTCAGTACTTTTCAGTTTCCCAAATAATCTACTAGACCATCCTGGTAAGACCTTTGCTGCATGGCACAGGAATGGGAAAATACAGCCACTCCCCAAGGGAGAAACAGCCGGTGACCCAGAGGAGACTCTGTATTTCAGCTTGCTCTAGATTGCAGTAGCAAAGACCTTCACCCTGCCATCTACCCACTTGTTCATAAGCTTAAGATTATTTGAAGATCCTCTATTGACTTATTTGCCCATCCCTTGGCTCTATCAGGTCTGTGTTCTGAATTAGAAAAATAATAAAGTCAATTATTATTTTTTTAGTTACCTCTTGTAAAAATCCCTGTCTGGAGTTTCTGGATGAGGGTTCAGACTATTCTAAAGTTGATCCAGGTCCCTGCGGACAATGGGTGACATAGAAGCCCTACTCAACTAATCTGGACTCCATCAGGCACCACCCAAAGAATCTTAGAAATCTGAACTCCTTCAAAATAACTGTGTTCTGCTATGACATAGTGGGCTGGTGAGTGGAGGTCTTCTTTCTTCTTTCAATATGCAGTTGTCTGCTAAAATCTGGGTCTGACATGAGAGTATGGCATGGTTCAGGACTCAGCTTGATTTTGTGTACAGCAAATATAACCCTAAACTAAAAGCACCAAGGAAAAGTAAACACCCTCTTCTAAGGTGTTCGGCATATTTCTGGGTTGTTCCTTCTGTCTGGATTTATACGAGTCATTTTTGAGATCTCTTCCATACTGCTCACAAGCACTTTACCACAGAATCCAATCAGTTACACACTTGAATTATCATGGAGAGAGGGTGAACAAAGAGTGGACTCTGGATAAAAAAGGGCTTCAGCTCTGACTCATGGGGTTGGGGGGAGGGTATGAAAGAAGGCATCATAGTTACAGAGGATATGTCCATCTAAGCAGAAGGAAAAGCCGTGAGCTAGCTGATGGTGGAACCGCCATGAGACCTGCACAACTGGGAAAGAGATGTGAGGTGCACTGGGTATTCCCTAAAGGGAGGGAATGTGAAGCTGTAAGCCTGACAGTAGATCTAAATAGAAATAACTTCTCCAAACCAACCTCACTGGTGACCATGATAAACTGGGATCATTCCATGATCTTAGGAGTGACTATGAGCTTTGTGCTAGGGACTCTGGAGGAAAGGAGGAATAAAGAAATAAATGTGTTGTCTATATCACTGCCCACAGTGGAGGCCATGTCCACTTCCTCTTCCTAGTCATGCTGGAAACATTCACATAAAGGTAGCCAGCCCTTGAACTGAACCTGAAAGGACACTGGGAGAGTGCTGAAAGAAGACAGTGAGTGGCTTATTTCAGTCAAGGGAACGATGTGTGTCAAAGCAGAGAGGCTAAAGGACACAGGACTTTCAAGTTTCATGGGTAGCTTTGGGGGACCTAGAAGACCAGCTGCATCTGGGAAGTGAGATGTGGCTAGAGAGACAGACAGACACAAAGCCCTTAGAGGTCCCCTCATGTCAGACCCAGGTGTTTGTACTTCATCTCAACAGTGGCAAGTAACCCTGAAGGAAGGGAGAAATTATGGGGGTCTCCTAAGAATCACAGAGCAAGGGACCACTAGAAGAAGAGCAGGCTTGGAGGAAGGGGCTATATGGAGCCTAGTATGTCCAATACCATGGACAGAAGATCTACAAGAAATGTTGAATGTTGAAAGGGTCTGTAACTGAGGGTAGAGCCAGAGAAAGACAACTGATTCATCTTCAAGCCTACGTGGGATGCCTTGGGAATAAATACCACTGCCCAGGGTAAATTCTCTCAGATGAGGTGAGGGCTGAGTACTGAGCCCTTGGACATCCAGTCCTATGCAGTGCACAACACATGGTATGTCATTGATCATTATTCCATGGGTGCATCCGTGGATTAGCAAGGAGAAAGAAAGGAAGGGTGCATGAGCTTGCTTGAGTCACCATAACAAGATACCACAGAGTGGGTAGCATTAGACAACAGACATTTTATTTTTTACAGTTCTGAAGGCTAGAAGTTGGAGATCAAGGCGTGGATGTCATTGGTTTCTTCTGAGGTCTCTCTCTCCCTGCCTTGTAGATGGCCATCTTCTCCCAGTGTCTCTCCAAGGTCTCCCCTCTGTGTGTGTCTGTGTCCAACTTCCTCTCCTTATAAGGACACGAGTCATATTGGACTGGACTCATCCTAATTACCTTATTTTAACTTAATTACCTCTTTAAAGACCCTATCTTCAAATATAGTCACTTTCCAAGGTACTAGGGTTTAGGACTTCAACGTATGAATTTTAGGAAGACACAATTTAGCCCATAACAGAAAGAAAGGGGAGAGGGAAAGGGAGAGCACAGGGAAGGCAGATTATTCTTTGAGAGAGCAGCCAAAGAGGGAGCTGCTGAGGGAGGCTGGCAAACAGAGATGGGGATGGGAAGCCAGCAGACTGCTGTTCTGTCCCCCTAGAGGCCTGATCTCTGAGGTTATCAGAGAGAGGCAACTATCCCAAAACAAAAGGCAAAGGAATACCAAAAAAAATCCCTAATCTTCTTCTGCTGACCTGGAAATGAAAAAACAGTAATCTGGGAAGATATACCTCTGTGGCACATCCTACTGTTTCTAAATAAGAGACTTTACCAGGCCAGGAGGGGATCTGGAGCTGGGAGCAGCTTTCTTGCCAGAACCCTGTCAAGAGGTGCAACTACAATTGGCACTGGGGGGCTGGGCTGTGATCTGCTGCCCTACAATGCAAGGGACAGTCCTGTGCTGGGGGTAACAGTCCA